TTTTTATTTTTATGTATTAATATTTAAAATTGCAACACATAATAATTTTTATTTATCAATATCCTAAAAATATTATTCTTGTATTACTATATATACATATTTGTGTATATATATATATATATATTTTTTTTTTTTCTACAGTAAAGAGGGAAGAAAAGCACAGAAAAAAAAATGATTTAATGCCCCATTAGGCAGGCCCAAATCGTATCACAATAGTCAAAATGCAACGTTTGCTCCAAGTCTTCAAGTAGCTAGGAAAGTCTTAAAATCAATCTAGTGGGTAGATGAGTCTAGGAGATCAACACATTTATTACCTTCACTATGAATATAAGTGGATATTGTATTGTTTTAATCACGATCAAACAAGATCCTAATTTTCATCTCATCCTTGGTACAAAGGCTTTTGGGATTTAGCCCAATTTCTAGCCAATGTTTTATGTGAAGAGAGTCCATCTCGACGAAAATTTTAATGGCATCATCCCAGGCCAACTACAATCCTCCTCAACTCCATGAAGTTCCGCCTCCATGGAATCCCCCTTGCCAATGTTGTAGGTAAATTCAATAATCTAGTTACCATAATGTTTGCGGATAAGATCACCAATAGTACTAGCAACGCGAGTACCTCTAATAAAATCATTCGTATTGAGTTTGTGTTGGAAATGGGAGGAGGAGGCAAAGAAACTAATAAGAAGACTCAAGTTTTTCTATTATAATTGTTGCTAAAAACTTTTAATTACATGACTATTTATATGCACTGTTACAACTCTTGAAATTTCACTAATTAATTCTAACTATCAACAGACTAATTAATACATAGTAACTCTAATTTAGGAATCATAGTTACTAAGAAACTAAGGAATACATAAAGTTTTAATTTATGAATTACAACTACTAATAAACCAAGAGATACATAAAAACTCTAATTTATGAACTACAACTACCAATAAACTAAAGGAGACATAATTATATTCTTAACTTACAAATTATTTCTAACACTCGCCTTAATTTATAAATCTCATTTTCAATCCAAGATTAGCGCGTAGCTTTTGAATGACATCAAACTTGAGTGGTTTGGTAAAAATATATGCAACTTGATCTTGAGTCTTTACGTGATTGAGCTCTACTTCATTTTTAGCAATACAATCCCTAATAAAATGATATTTTGTATCTATGTGCTTTTTTTGTTCATAATATACATGATTATTGGCTAATGCTTGTGCGAACTTATTTTTAATAAAAAATTTAGTAGTTTTGTCTTGTGTCAAATGAAGTTCCTTCAACAAGTCTTTCTAATAAAATCATCAATAAATAATAGAAAGTATTTATTTTTATCAAATAAAGGTGGATTGGTTGACCCACACACCTCGGCATGTACAAGTTGAAGTAGCTTGGTTACTCTTGT